AAAAAAAAAAAAAGCAGGTTGCCCATCCGCACCTGGTTGCCAAAGGTGAACTAGGCGCGTTTGAGTTTTCCTATCATAGGGCACGAAGCACTGGTGGCTTTAAAGAGTGGCTTTAAAGTGAACAGCTAGGATGTTTTTCAAACTTAGCAGCTTTAAGACAGGTGGATCTCAGCTCCCAAAATTCCCAAGCCAGACTCACGGGAACTTGAGGGAAGAATTTGAACTCGGGTTCAACCTTGCAAAGGGCTTTATTTGTGACTGCTAGCAGCTCTTCAATTCATCATTCAGCTCAGAGCATTCTACCTCCTTCCTTCCTTCCTTCCTTCCTTCCCCCTCTCTTCTTACTGTCTTTTTCTCTTTCCTTTCCTTTTTTCTTTGTCTCTCTCTCTCTCTCTTTCTTTCCTTCCTTCCTCTTTCTTTCTTTCCTTCTTTTTTCTTTGTCTCTCTCTTTTATCCCTCCCTCCCTCCCTCTTTCTTTCTTCTCTCTCTTTCCTTTCTCTCTCTCTTGCTGTCTTTTTCTTTCTTTCTTTCTCTTTCCTTCTCTTTTTTCTCTCTCTTGCTCCTCCCCCTTTCTTTCTTCTCTCTCTTTCTCTCTTTCCCTTCTCTCTCTCTCTCTTGCTGTCTTTTTCTTTCTTTCTCTTTCCTTCTTTTTCTTTGTCTCTCTCTTTCGTTCCTCCTTCTCTCTTTCTTTGTCTTCTTTTCTTCCTTATTCCCTTTCTCTCTCTCTCTCTCTCTCTGAAAGGACTTTGAGTGAAATGAGAAGGTCACTGAATGAAATGGCGCTTTTTTTTTTTTTTGGCTTTACCAGACGTCATCGCAAAGAGATTTTGCAGGCGAAGGAGACACAAACACAGCTCAGTCTGTTCGCGGGACCTTATTTCTCCTAAAAGTGCATTTGGGTGGCTGGGCTATTTGGCTCAGACAAAAAGGAGCAAAGATTTCTTCATTTTTTAAAAGAAAAAAACCCTCTTTGACTTTTGTTCTGTTGCAACATGCTGGGTCTGTGACACAGAAGTTGGCCTGACCTTCCGGTCTGGGCAGCCAAGTCTGGTTGACCGGTTCGGTTCAAATTGTCAAAGGGTGGGAAGCTTCAGTTTAGTCCTCGGCTTACGACCTCAGTTGAGCCCAACGCTTCTGCTGCTAAGGGTAAAGTTCGTTGAACTTAAGTGAATGCTAAGTGAGCTTCTTTGCCCCGTCTTACGACCTTTTTTGCCACGGTTATTAAGTGAATCCCTGCGGTGGCGAAGTTAGTAACGGGCTTGTTAAATGAATCCGGCTTCCCCCTTGTTGATTTGGCTCATCCGGTGGTCAGAAAAGGGGAACCACATGACCCCGGGGCACTGCGACCGTCATAAACACGAGATGGTGGCCAAGTGCCTGAATTTTGATCCCGTGGCCGTGGGGAATGGATCGAGAGTCGTAAGTGTGAAAAATGGCCATAAGTCACTTTTTCCACCGATGATGCAACTTTAAACTGTCACATAATGAATGGTTGTATGTGGGCTGACAGTAAAAAAATGACAATAAAGTTTATCTTATCTTATCTTAATACTATATTTATACTATGCATGGGCGAAAGCAATAACAAGAGATAAGCCTCCTTTGACCAACATGACAGAGGTAAAAACAGCAGAAATAATTACGGATGGGAGGCAGTTGAGACGACCTATTCAAGCATGTGAGGACTAAATTGGTTAATGTCAGTAAGTACAGTACATTAAGTGTAATTTTAGATTCCGGAAATTGAAGGATGTCTGTTTCTTCTTTTACAAGTATACCTGGAACTCATATTTTTAGAATAGTTTGTAAAGAATGTGTGTGTGTGTGTGTGTGTGTGTGTGTGTGTGCATATATGTATATGTGTAGTGTAGTGTAGTATAGTATAGTGTAGTGTAGTGTAGTTTAGTGTAGTTTAGTGTAGTGTAGTGTAGTGTAGTATAGTATAGTTTAGTGTAGTGTAGTGTAGTGTAGTGTAGTGTAGTGTAGTATAGTATAGTATAGTATAGTATAGTATAGTATAGTATGGTATCCTATCCTATCCTATCCTATCCTATCCTTTCCTCTCCTACCCTACCCTACCCTACCCTACCCTACCCTACCCTACCCTATCCTATCCTATTTGGGGTATAGTATAGTGTAATATAGTGTAGTGTAGTGTAGTATGGTATGGTATGGTATGGTATGGTATCCTATCCTATCCTACCCTACCCTACCCTACCCTACCCTACCCTATCCTATTTGGGGGAGTGGGAAGAGAGAGGCTGTGTTTTGCAATGGACGGTGCTTTTGCAAAATATGCCTCTTACGGAAAAAATATTTCCTGCCAAGACATCAACGGTCGACGGAGAGCCAAACAACCAAACCGGGTTAGTGCCCACAGGATGGACTTTCTGTTTTTCACCTGTGTCCAGAGTCCTGCCTTTTCCTCCCCCACTTCCTCTCTTTCTCCGCAGGCGGTGGCATTTAAGGACAGGCCCGCAAATCTGAACATTTCTGCCCGCTGGCTTAATTAGAGACATGGTGCTGCAGCTTCAGCAAAAATATTTGGAGAAAAAATATATAGAGATATATATGTTTTCTGAGGTTTTCGTGGGTATTTGTATGTGGATCTTTGGTTATTCGGGTTTTCTCCCGCGTAAAATTGGAAGTATCTAGGCGACGTTTTGATGAAGTCTCATTCATCGTCTTCGGGCTTGTGTCTTCGGCTTTGTACTTCTTTATGAAGTAAATAAGGATCAGATGGGCAGATTGTTGAGCTGCCTAAAATTCCCCCAAATTAGGGTGGGATGCCAACTCTGCTAAACATATGGATCCCGAAACCCAGAAAAGGCACTGAGGTTTATTTGGTTTTGACCTAGGGGAAAACTCTGACACTTCTGGTCTGTTTTAATCCCCCTCTCTCTGGAAAATTGTGGACTTAAAAGGCTTCTTTGATAAATGGATGCACGGGCATCCATTTATTATTCACATTGTGATTGCGACCGTATTGCTTGGACTCCTTTCATTTTTATTCAGGTTGGCCCATTTTGGCTAAGCCTGCAGAGATTCCAAAAACAGCAATCTGCTTTTTCACAGGCTGACGGGTATGTCATAAAAGAAAAAAAGAAAAAAAAACCAGACTAGGTTGGAAGAGGAGAATTCTGGGAGTTGAAGTCCACAAGTTTTAAAATTTCTGGCTGAGGGATTCTGGGAAGTCCACGAGTCTTAAAGTTGCAGCCTGGGGAATTCTGGGAGTTGAAGTCCACGAGTCAAAGTTTTCTGGCTGAGTGATTCTGGGAGTTGAAGTCCACAAGTTGTAAAGTTTCTGGCTGAGGGATTCTGGGAAGTACACAACCCATAAAGTTTCTGGCTGAGGGATTCTGGGGAGTCCATAAGTCTTAAAGTTGGAGGCTAGGGGATTCTGGGAGTTGAAGTCCACAAGTTGCAACGTTTCTGACTGAAGGATTCTGGGAGTTGAAGTCCACAAGTTGCAACGTTTCTGACTGAAGGATTCTGGGAGTTGAAGTCCACAAGTTGCAACGTTTCTGACTGAAGGATTCTGGGAGTTGAAGTCACCGAGTGGAGCCGTCAGTAGTTGTGCTCAACTAGTCCATGCCCTTTAAAATCATGCTGGGATTCTCGATGGTCTTCTCTCCTTCTCCATCCTAGGTGAGGACCTCTTGAACTGCAACAGGACCTTCTCTCACCCAGATTGGCTGGTCGACATTGATTCCCGCCTTCGGAGCCAGGAGGAAGAGCTAACTCTGGTAAAATCGGCATTAGCCGATGCCCTACGGAGACTCAACGCCTACGACCAGCAGATCCCGTGGCTCAGACAGCAAGTGCTGGAAGGTGAGATGCTGTAGAGCCAGGGATCTCCAAACTTGGGCCCTTTAAGATTGTGGACTTCAACTCCCAGAATTCCTCAGCCAGCTGGGAGTTGAAATCTACAAGTCTCAAAGTTGCAGGCTGGGGAACTCTGGGAGTTGAAGTCCATATATTTCTGGCTGAGGGATTCTGGGAATTCCACAAGTCTGCAAGCTTGGGAATTCTGGGAGTTGAAGTATATATATTTTCCTGTTCAGCAGAGGCCAAAGAAGCTGTACTTCCCAGAAGCAACGATGCCCAATGGATCCTCCCTCCCGTTGCCTCCAAATATTCCAGGTACTTTCCGGCCATAGATGTATAATATACAGGTAATTCTTGACTTACAGCAATGCTCATTTAGTGACCATTCAAAGTTACAATGGTACTTTTTAAAAAGTGTCTGTCCTTTTGGGTTGCAGAGCCAAACCAGACAGTTATAGAGGTGCAGATGACAGACTCAATCATTCCTCTGTAGAACTGGATCAGCAGCTCCTTGGGCAGTTTGAGCTTTCTGAGTTGGCGCAAAAAGTACATTCTTTGTTGTGCTTTTTTGATGTTAGGTGTCCATTTTAGATCTTGTGGTACGACAGAACCTAGAAATTTGAAGGTCTCCACTGTTGACACTGTGTTGTCTCGTGATGAACCCAAGTGAATGAATGTCCTCTTTTCTCTTTATAGTTCAACCCTCACCCCCAATTTAGGACACCCCAAAGAATGGGCATTGGAAGCAGAGAAGAGCCAGAGGTCAAGGATCAGCGTTGGGACACAAACAGAGGACCTTACGGCGCTGGGGAAAGACAGAGAAACATTTCTTAGCAATGGAGGTCTTCAACAGGTGGAGGAGACCTCATCTACGAGGGGAAAGTCCTTTCAGGACCCTTCAAACGTTGGCGAGATGGACTTGGCTGAAGTTCTCGGCGGTCGTGGCCCTTTCAAAGTGGCCAAGAACTCCTTTGGGCTGTTAACCGAGACAGAAAACATGACTTCCGAGCTACAGACGGTCCAGGAGAATCCTGAAGCTCACAGCGCCAACCAATTTCCTTCCAGCGCGGGTCCCCAGGGAGCTCAAGATGTTGGAGAACCTCCGCCAGAGGCCACCAAGGAGAAACCTCCAAGCCCAGGGCAGCCACGGCTTGGGGGTCCTCCTCCAGGGCCGGGCACCCCCTCCCCAGAGCCCCCCTCAGAAGGGAGCAGCAGCAGCAGCACTGCGGCTTCCCCCATCCCCGCCGTTCATAATGTGATGGCCGCCAAAAAGGAGTTGTGAGTTTCTATACGTTAAGGGGAGGCATTTCCGAGGGGAGGAATTAAAAGAGAATCGATTTTGCAGGGACTTTTTCCCCTCCCTGGATTTATATATTTCGGGGGGAGATCAGCAATCTGAGGAAATCTAGAGTGGGCTTTGGAGAACCATTCATTTCCTGAAATGTCGTCCTTTCCCATTATAATTGTTTTTCCTTTTTCCTCTGCATGAAATCTGAATGTTTTTATTATAATTTTTCCTCTGTCTTTTGCATTATATCCGTCTTTCTATTCCGGTTCTTTTTCTTTCTTCCTTTGCATTCAACCCTTCCCTTCCTATTTTATTTTTCCTTTTTAAATTTCCCTGACATATATCTTTTCCTTTTCTTGCTACTATCTTTCTTTTTCCTTCTTCCTTTGCGTTAAACCTGAATCTTTCTATTATACAAGTGCCATATATATATATTGTATATTTCTCTATTATATTTCTTTTTCCTTCTTCCTTTCCATCAAACCTGACTCTTTTCTTTGTATTTTATTTTTTCCTTCTTCCTTTGCAGTCAACCCAAATATTTTTTCTGTTTCAATTATTTTTTCCTTCGCATTACATCTGTCTTTCCTTCCCATGATATTTCTTTTATCTCCTTCCTTTCGCTCAAATCCAACTCTCGCCTTTCTGTTCATTTTTTTCCCCTTCATCTTTTGCATTAAATCCAACTCCTTTTTTTCTTTCTTTTTCTTTTTTTTTCCTTCTTCCTTTGCGTCACGTCGGATTTCTTTCCTTTCCAGGCTGCGAAGAAACAGCTCTTCCGACAAACTGGTCAGGACCAAACAGCATCTCCAGAAGAAAGCTGCCTCAACTGCAAATCTTTTTAACCGGTCCAGCAGCCTCGAAAAGTGAGGGGGAAAAAGCACACGCACACACTTGCATATAATACGGGTAGTTCCTCCACTTACAACAGTTCATTTAGTGACCAATTGAAGTTACAACGGCACTGGGGGTGGGGTGGGGAAAGGACTTTTGACCATTTTTCACACTTAAAAGACCGTTGCAACATCCCTACAGTCACATGATCCAAATTCACTCATTTGGCAACTGGCTTGTATTTGCGACAGTCGCAGTGTTCCCTTTTGCAACCTTCTGGCGAGCAAATAATAATAATTGCTTAATAACTGGGGTGTTAATTTAACAGCTGCTGGGATTCCCTTAAGAACGGTGGCAAGAAAGGCTGTAAAATGGGGCAAAATTCACTTAACAGGGGCCCTCGCTTAGCAAACGGAAATTTCGGGCTCGATTGTGGTCATAAGACGAGGACTACCTATTGTCATGGTTAGCCGGCAGCAGGTGTGGAGGGCTGAGGAGAGAGAGGAGTCAGATGAGGGGCCAGGACCATTAGGGAGGGGACTGCTGCCTTCAGAGATTGTGAGGGCTGGCAGCAGCGATGAGGTTCCCGCGGAGCCTGTGCCAAGTGCGCATGCACGCAGGATTGCTCGTAGGAAAGAGCAGCTACAACAGCACGGGCGACTCAGGAGTAAGGCTGCAAGGTAATGGCCCCTCCTTCAAGCAGATGAAAGCCAGCTGTGAAACGAACGCACTTTGCAGGAAGCAAAGACGTTTTGAAACTCAGCCTCGTAGACATTCCAGTATCTTAAGTTGGTATTTGGTATTTTTGTGTTGCGAAGGCTCTTATCTGTTGTTCTTGGCAGCCTCGCACGGTTTTGACAAAGCTTGTGCTTACCAAAGTTAATCAGTTTGCAGCAGCCTTTTAACCGGGGATTCATAAGAATCATTAAAAGGTTTCTGTTCCCTTTGGCTCTTGTTTGTTTTATTGGAAAAGGGTTTGGGTCAGGTCACCTATCCATTGGCCCCAGTCGTGTTGTGGTTGGAGGGAAAAAGACGGGTGGATTTCAAGCTAGTCCCTCTAACTCAGCCCAAGAAACGGAGTGGGGAGTCCTGAGTTCGAATTCCTCCCCCCCCTTCAGCCTGAGGACTTTAGAGCCAGTTTTTCCTCACTGAGCTGAGCCTGCCCTGCAGAGAGGTTGTGGCGAGGAAAAGGAAGTGACAGCAATGCAATATACAAGCAAGTCCTTGCCTTAAGACCACAAATGGGACCAGAGTTTCCGCCGTTAAGCAGAGCAGGCGTTAAGCGAGTTGCGCCCGATTTTATGACCTTTTTAAGCTAGCCCAGCTTCCCCATGGGCTTCGCTTGTCAAAATCCAGCTGGGAAGGTCGCAAATGCCGATCACGTAACCGTGAGGATGCTTCTATGGTTGTAAGAGCGAGGACCAGTCATAAATCACTTTCTTGAGTGCCATTCTTACTTCTAACGGTCGCTGAACGAAGCGCCGTAAGTCAAGGACTTACCTGTGCAGGAAAACGGAAAAACGAAATGATTCAAAAATAGAAAGTAACCCTGTCGGATAAGCGGCGAACTTTCTGATGTTCTGTTTTCATCTTGCAGCCGATCGAAGGATCCCACCTTAAGTCCAGGTGAGCCACTGGCTTTGTTTTGTGTGTAAAGTGTGTTATTTTCCTCGACCAGGATGGGGGCTGCTGGTCGTATCTCTGAAACTGGGAGACCAAGGCTGCCAATGGTCACTCAGAGGCCCCTGAACCCCCGAGAGGAATAGAAAATAAATATGAGGAGGAGGAGGAGGAGAAGAAGAAGGAAGAAGGAAGAAGGAAGAAGAAGAAGAAGAAGAAGAAGAAGAAGAAGAAGAAGAAGAAGACTTTGGAAAAAGAAAGCATGTGTTATCCCAATTGTAATTGGAGCCCTTGGAGCAACACCTAAAGGGCTGCCTCGCTATTTCGAAATCCTGAATTTATCAGACTTGAATACCCTGATTCTACAAAAAAAAACACCCTACTTGAAGCAGGTTATATCCTCCAACACTACCTGGACAGTTCCTAGGTCCTTGGTTAGGACTCGAGCTGTTGAGCTACCAACCAGACCCAAAGGCTGTGAATCTTACTAAAGATTAACTAATCATCATCATCTTGATACCCGTGCTTTGCTACGAAACTATGTGGTCAGGCTTAGTTTTTGGGGAGGGAAAATACCATAAGGGGGGGGAATTGTGCCTCTGCCTACCAGCATCCATCGGTATTCATCTGTCTAGCATCCAGTCAGTGCGCGAGAGAGTTGAGGGCTGTTTGGAAACTGAAGCAGTCTTTGCTGTGTGAGCAAGGAGGAGATAGCAAGGAGCCTGGGCGTGGCTTTAGCTCAACTGTTCTGTACTGAAGCTGTTTGGTGCTCTGAGACTGAAAATGGAACTCCTCTCCTCTGCTTGTGTTTTGCACTGGGGAGAGATTTCTTTCCAGGCGGGGAGGGGGAGTGGAACTCCTTAGCATCAGAGCATGTTAATAATAATATACGAAATGCTAATTTGCTCTGAGGGTCATTTGGAAAAAATCCTTTCTTAGTGAGCCCCTAGAAGCCGAGAGGAACATAGGTGCCAAATTTCAAATTTGTAGGCTTTACAGTTCTGGAGATTTTGTGATGATGTGTGAGGGGCATATTTTGCTTTTATAGAGAGAGATTTTTGCTGAGAAAAAAGTCAAACCGTCTTTCTGTTCTTCCCTGCAGGACCGACAGGCTCTCGGCGTTTGAATTATAACCTGGGTGAGGATCATTCCACAAGGAGTTACTGGCTGGTTCAGGGAGTGGGTTTAATTACGGGTGGATGGGAGATGGTTGGCCATCATTCTTGGGGTCTGGTAAAGCGTACCTCCACATACGACCGTCACTGACAACGTTTTGGGGTCAGAAATGGGCATTTGTCAGCAAAGAATGCCCAGTGAGGGAAAATGAGTTTGCTTAACGACCGTGGTGTTCGCTTAATGACTGTCATAAAATTCCTGACAGTCTTCCGGTTGTAATAATTCTTCTTCTTCTTCTTCTTCTTCTTCTTCTTCTTCTTCTTCTTCTTCTTCTTCTTCTTCTTCTTCTTCTTCTTCTTCTTCTTCTTCTTCTTCTCCTTCTCCTTCTCCTTCTCCTTCTCCTTCTCCTTCTCCTTCTCCTTCTTCTTCTTCTTCCCACCTCCTCCTCCTCCTCCTCCTCCTCCTCCTTCTTCTTCTTCTCCTTCTTCTTCTTCTTCCTCCTCCTCCTCCTCCTCCTCCTCCTCCTCCTCCTCCTCCTCCTCCTCCTCCTCCTCCTCCTCCTCCTCTTCTCCTTCTCCTTCTCCTCCTTCTCCTTCTCCTCCTTCTCCTTCTCCTTCTCCTTCTTCCTCTTCCTATCCCTATTTCCATCCTCCATCCCTTCAGAAGGACTTTCCATCAAGATGTTCCTGCGTGGCCGTCCCATCACCATGTACATCCCTTCTGACTTCCACAACTATGAAGAGCTGCGCATGGAGCTGCCAACACAGAAGCTGCAATTGGACTGGGTGTATCCTTCCGAGCGGCACGGTTTTCGGGCATCCTTCCCCTTTCCCCCAAACCGGAGTTTACTCGACCTAGACAACCTTCCGCTACAAGTAGTCCTTGACATACGGTTGCTCGGTTAGCAACCGTCTGAAGTTACGGCCGACCGACCGACGTATAACCCAGATCTCTGAAATTCTGACAGTCAACCGGAAAGGGGCCGACCGCCAGAACTTCCGATCCGGTCGTAAGTCCTCTTTTTCGGGTAGGCCATGACTTTCGATGGTCGTTAAAGCGACTGGAATTCTGGGAATTCACTGGCCGAGGTTATGCTCAAAGCTAATCTAGAAAAAGTCATCGCACTCTTTTTTCTTAACGCCTCTCCAGCTACGGTTACCGGGGACGCGATTGCCGTTCCAACCTCTACGTCTTAACATCGGGGGAGTTGGTGTACTTCATTGCCTGCGTGGTGGTGCTTTACCACGTCCAACGGCGCACCCAGCGCCACTATCTTCGCCACACTGACTGCGTGCGCTGGTGAGCGGGTGGGATTAGAGTCTGTCGAAGGCAGGACTAGAACTCTCAGGCTCCTGGGGATTGGCCCAAAGTCACCCAGCGGGCTTTCAAGTGAAAGGCGGGACTAGAACTCTCAGGCTCCTGGGGATTGGCCCAAAGTCACCCAGCTGGCTTTCAAGTGAAAGGCGGGACTAGAACTCTCAGGCTCCTGGTGATTGGCCCAAAGTCATCCAGATGGCTTTCAAGTGAAAGGCGGGACTAGAACTCTCAGGCTCCTAGTGATTGGCCCAAGATTTCCCTGCCGGCTTTCATGCCTAATGAGGAACTAGAACTGACTGCTTCCTGGTGATTGTCCCAAAGTCACCTGGCTGGTTTTCATACCTGTTGAAGAACTAGAACTCACTACCTCCTGGTGGTTGGCTCAAAGTCACCCAGCCACCTTTTATTCCTAAACTGGGTCTAGAATTCACCACCTCCCAGTGTTTGACCCTAAGTCACCTAGACAGCTTTCATGCCTAAGGAGGGACTAGAACTCCCAGTCTCCTGGTGACCTGCCGAAAGTCTCCCAGCCGGCTTTCATGCCTAATGAGAAACTAAAACTCACAGTCTCCTGGTGACTGGCCCAAAGTCACCCAGCCGGTTTTCATGCAAGGCTAGAATTCACCTTCTCCCTGATGATTGTCCAAAAATCACCCAGTTGGCTTTCTTGTCGAAGGCAGGATTAGAACTCACCATCTCCTGGTTTCTCCTTCAGAGGGGAAGCGATGGCGCATAGAATCCGAAAGGGTTTACAAGGGTTGCCCCCAGACAAATTTTGTACATTTTTTTGTAGCCTTGCAGTGCATCCCGACGGAGTCCGTGTGGCCTCGGGGCAGATGGCCGGCGTGGACAAAGACGGCAAGGTAACACCACCACCACCTGTTAGCCCTTCGAGGTAGTCCGTACAAGAAGCACAATCAAGAATAGTATAGCTAGTCCTCATTCAGTAACTGCCATTACCACAGGGAGTAAAAACCGACTTTACTCTCAATCTTCCTGTTTGCAACCTTTGCAAGTCTTCAAAACAAAACCAAGCCGAAGGGAGATTATATGCTCAGCCGTAGTTTTACTTCGCGCTACTTCATTTAATGACCATTTGGTTGTGGCTCCCAGTTTTGGTCACTAAACGAGGACTCCCTACAGCTCTTTCTGTCATTGCCGGCCGTAAATGTGAGGACCGGTTGTAAGTCCCTTTTTTGAGTGCCATTGTAACTTCGAGCAGTCACGAAACAAACAATGGTTAAGTCAAGGAGTACCTGTGGATGTGCTTTTTCTACTCCTTCAGCTTTGATGCTCAGAAATGATGACGTGGCTTTTTTGGGGTGGCGGGGTTCTTTCCTGCAGCCGCTGCAGCCCTTCGTTCACATCTGGGACTCCGTCACACTTCTGACCTTACAGCAGATTGGTCTGGGCAGCTTCGAGAGAGGCGTCGGTTCCCTGGCCTTCTCCACGGCGGTAAGTTTCCCAGTGTTGTGGTTCGCCAGCAACCTGTGTAGACAGCAGCGGAATCGGACAGTGGGGAAGAACGGGGACCAGTCCGGGAGTCTGGGGAGGACTCGGATGAGGGTCCTGCATCAAGACACTAGAGAGGGTCTCTTCTAAACCTCTTTCTCCATCCATTATACAGCTGGGGCTATGCTGTCTCTTATCTGACCCTTTTGGGGGACATCTTTTCAGCCATTCCCCAAGGTCTTTCTCACATAATATTAATGCCATCTTCTTCATAGCCCTAGAAACTAGGGACGGTCCCTCCTGAGCCTGTCCATTATAGAGCCAAGGGCTTGGCTGTCTCTTATCTGACTGTTCCCTGGACAAGATCCTTGTCCTTGTGCCCCTAAGACTTCCTCCTTTACAGCCTGGGAAACTAGAGAAAGTCCCTTTTGAGCCCTTTTCTCCATCCATTATGCAGCCGAGGGCTCAGCTGTCTCTTATCTGCCTTCCACGGCACCTTTTCATCCATCCCCCAAGGTCTTTCCCGCACACCGTTCCACCCTGACCTGCCATTCTTTTCCCCCCTTCTCAGGACGAGGGCGCCTACCTGTGTGTGATCGACGAGTCCAACGAACACATGCTCTCGGTATGGGATTGCGTCCGTGGCACCAAGCAAGCCGAAATCAAGGTGAGAGGTAGAAAGAGCCACATGTGGGATGCAATGATGCTGGCTTGTTAGCCAGATGTTTGTTTGTTTGTTTTAAGTGGGAGGAGCTTTCAGGGACGGAAGCACCCACGACCAGCAAAGTCAATGGGGAAGCCAGATTCACTGAACGACCGTGTCCCTAACTGAACGACCGCAGCGATTCAGTTAACCCCGCTGGCAAGAACGGTCATGAAATGGGGGCAAAACTCCTTAGCAATGGAAATGTTGCGCTCAATTGTGGTCGTAAGCCAAGGGCGACCCCCATTTGTAGGAGTGGCGGCTGCCCACATGAATTGGAGGTTTTGATCCTGCAGGATCCACCCGTTGCACATGCGTGAACGAATCCTGATGGATCCCCTAGACTGAGAGGTGTTTTTTTTCTTTTTCCGCTCTTCCTTTTTTTGCTATCCAGAGCACCAATGAATCCGTCCTGATGGTGGAGTTTAATCCCCAAGACAGCAGCAACATCATCACCGCTGGAAAGTCGCACGTCTATTTCTGGACCTGGGCCGGAAGCAGCTTAACCAAGAAACAGGGGATCTTTGGGGTAAAAGAATCTAGGAAGGAAGGAAGGAAGGAAGGAAGGAGA